TATAAATTGCGGTACTGACAAAAAAAGCAACAGTATCCCATGCACAGAACAGATACTTCTGCTTGGGTGAGGTAGAAACTTCCGTGCAGCAAGTCACTTGGCCTCTTAGGCCATTTATTCAGCTTGATGCAGGAGATGAATGTGAAAGAACAAATCCTATCATGATGTAAACTAATGATTGTACATATCTGTATTGCATGCAGTTTAGAAGATGTTAGGCTGTAGTTCAGTAATGTAGCATTTCCATACAGGTAGGCTGCTAATTTTTGTTCTATTCAGTGANAGACTGCAGTAGATGACTTGATTGACACACACACACTGTACCAGTCTAGCTGATAAGGTAGTGGTCAGACAGACAGGTCTCAGAGAAGGTAGGGTCACTTGTGTGTGATATTTCCACTCACAGTCCATTGTTCTTAACCGTAAGTAGATTGAAGAGACAGATGACAGCAACAGATGCAGGCAGTGAACGGTCGACCACCTGCAAAATGGACATATATTTGGCAGTTAGTGGGGTGGTGCATTTACTTTCTTCTGTTGCAGAGAGGAATGGGAGTTAGTTTTTTCTTTGTCAGAAGACATTTGAAATCCGTCACAGACCTAACAGAGAATATCCAAAGTTATGAAATTTACATCTGTACCCTTTTCAGTGGATCTATACTTGCACGCTCCCATATCCCTTCATGGTGTAATGCTTAATTAGTTAAGCACAAGGACAACTTTACCGTACTCTACCTTTATCCTTATCTGTATGATTGGTAGCCAAGGCTGCTGAAGCAATGTGCGAGTATTGCGGTAGGATTTGTTGTGTATATGATTCAAATCCTGATTCCCAATTTGTTATTGCTTTTGGTTCTCTTGTTACATAAGAATACTTTAATTTCAGAATTTGAGTGTTACTTCCTTCCTTACAGATGTAAATACTATAAATTGCGGTACTGACAAAAAAAGCAACAGTATCCCATGCACAGAACAGATACTTCTGCTTGGGTGAGGTAGAAACTTCCGTGCAGCAAGTCACTTGGCCTCTTAGGCCATTTATTCAGCTTGATGCAGGAGATGAATGTGAAAGAACAAATCCTATCATGATGTAAACTAATGATTGTACATATCTGTATTGCATGCAGTTTAGAAGATGTTAGGCTGTAGTTCAGTAATGTAGCATTTCCATACAGGTAGGCTGCTAATTTTTGTTCTATTCAGTGATCCTTATTCAGTTGCTTAGGATGAGTGTGTATGATGAACTGGGAGAGAAGTGGATGTAAACATTCCCAGCACTTGATTGGTGAGACTGAAGAAATCATGTAAACCACCTGTCAGAATTTACTAATTAGGAACCAGATGTCACTACTTGAAAACCCTCTTTTATGTAAATATCCTATGCATTTCTTTATGGTTCTGCTGACATTTAAAACTGATGATGTTTTGGGTGGGTGTTTATTTTGCTGTATTATTGAGTTTGAGTTATGGCCTTATGCTTTTATCTGATTCCCCAACCATCTGCAATTTTTCCCTGCAGTAAATTAGCTCCCATGCCACTGGGAGTACTGGTTATCATCTGCAATGTGCAGTCACCCTTGTGCCAGAGACAGTCCTACCTGATGACACAACTGTTCTCACCAATAAATACTGTCACGTGTCCTGGGTTTGTATGACAAGACGGGTTTTGGGTTTGATGATCGAGTTTATTGGACCTTTATGTATTTTTTTTATTGCTAGTGGGGCGGGACTAAGGCCACTTCTGCCCTATTGTACCAGCCTCAGATGATAGGTGAGGGTGATTGTGGAGCAATTGGTGGATTGAAGATTGGCAGGGGAAACCGAAGTACTCAGAAAAAGACCTGCCCCAGTGTCATTTTGTCCACCACAAATCCCACTTGACCAGATCTGGGCTCGAACCCGGGCTACCGCGGTGGGAAGCCAGCATCTAACCGCTTGAGGACCTTTATGTAACTGGTTACAGCAGTTCATAAATGACTGTCTGACAGACTGTCCGCTTCCAGCTGGACACTTCACAGGATCTATTCTGACTTCCAACCGAAATGTCAGTTATTGTTGGCTTCTTGTTATATAGCCTCGGTTCAGACCACAGCACAGAAAACACATCTGTTGCCTAACAATGGATATATGTGAACCGACATAGAAAACACCTCTTGCAGCACCAGTTCTGTTGTGTGTGTGTGCGTATTGTGGCCATTGCCTAGAAATGTGTCTACTCTGTTGATTGCATATTTGTTGTGGGCTTGTTTGCCGAGTCTTTCCCTAGCAATGGGTCTACATGTCAATACTTTCATCCCTTACAAATTTAGCTGCATTGTAATTCTGGGGGGAGGGGGGAAGTTGGCCTCTGTTACTTGATTCTTGGATTCATTAACAACACCTAACATTTTTTTACAACAGCACAGTTTATAACATCAGTCAGTAGCATGATTATGGATGAGAAATTTAAAGGTATGTATATGCATGGAAGTACGCATGATCTGATATAAGGTACTGTTACAGCATTTGTCTGGAAAAACCAAGGAATACTGCAATAATAATAGTCAGTATGGGTGCTCCTCATGCTGAAATCAAATCTAGGAGCACCTGAATAAGAAGTAGGAATGCTGACCACTTAAAAAAATTTTCATTTTGGGACCTTGAAATACTAAATTCCCCATGACTTCATTGAGAACAATGTAGGAAATCATTACAGGTATCGAACTTCAAGAGATTACTGTTTAAATCTTCTGTCGCAGTAATTCCTGTGAAAGCGATAAATTGTTTTTTATTATTACTGACTACAAGTAACATATTCCCCATCTTTCAATTTTAATTTGTGCTTTTAAATTTCATAGATAGCAACTAGGTTTAGGAAAGGGTCTTGAGGCTGTCATATAATATTTCTCCCCTCTTTGATCAAATATATCAACTCTGCCAGTTATAATTCAAAGGACAGCATGTTCAGGCATTTAATTCAGTGTGAAGTAATGATAAACCAAACATGGGAGCTTACATCAGTCCGTAGCCATGGGGTGAAAATGGCCACAGAACTGCATCATCCTGTGGGCAGAACAGGCCAAGCAGCTTTACTTTCAGAAGTTCCTGGGATTTGTGACATCATGTGACTGGTACATGTTACACAGATATCAAGAGTATACATTTTGTCTTGGTTCTGTGTCAAAATAAGATATATGAAGATTTATTATTATTATTTTTATTGCTAGTGGGGTGGGACTAAGTCCCCTACACTGTGGCCACTTCTGGCCTATTGTACCAGCCCCAGATAATAGCTGAGGGTGATTTTGGAGCAATTGGTGGAATGAAGATTGGCAGGGGAAACCGAAGTACTCAAAAACCTGCCCCAGCGCCACTTTGTCCACCACAAATCCTGCTTGACCAGACCCGGGATCGAACCTAGGCCATTTCGGTGGGAAGCCAGTGACTAACCACTTGAGCAATGGCGTGGCCTTATATGAAGATTTAACTATATGAATTACATTTTATGTTCTTACTTGACAACACTGAATAACTGATGTAGGCAGGAACATGAAATTATTTGTGATAGAGGTTATAAAATTGTGTACAAAATACTTTTTCATGTTAGGAGGAGTCAACATGGAAAAGGCATGAGCATCAAGGTAAGTGTATGTATTAGTTTGGAACATGTTTTTGGGATCAGTGGCCCAACTATTCTTTATATCAGAATAAGAACTATCATGTGATGGCACAGCTGGGCCTCCAGAATGTATTGCTTTGGTCACCCTTCAAATTAGCAGCAAATCTGTCTTCATTGTCAGCCTTTGAAAACAGTAATTCATAATTTGACCTGTAATAATGAAATCATTAAATGTTAATGACAGGAGATAAAGAAAACATGCACTTTATAAGCCAAATGAACCCCTTCCATGTAGACAGGTGTGTGTATGTGCAACTGGCTTTTACAGGTTAATTGTACTGTTTGATGCCTTACATACTTACGGAGCTGAGACCTTCTTGAGAAGCCGCCAATTGTGCAGCCCCTCAAGAATTTCCCAGCATTTTGTGGAACCCGAAGGTTCATTATCATGTTGACAAGAGCCCTCCAATGGTCTCTCTCCTGAGCCAGATCAATCCAATCCCATCCTATCTTTCAAAATTCCATTTTAATATTATCTGCCCACCTATGCCTTGGTCTTCTCAGTGGTGTCTCTCCTGGCCTTCCCACCAATATCCTATATGCATTCCTCTTTTCACCCCCTTCGTGCAACATGCCCTGCACTGTTTGATGCCACATAACCTATAACAAATTAACATATGAGAAGAAACATGAAATCCAAAGAGAATATTCCCATCAAAATCTGACTTCCATGCTAGAAATAAAAACATGTACAGCAATGTGTGCCTCATTTTATTTGTATAAACCAATCCTACCACTCCAGGTAGGGCTTGCATGCAGATTTCAGGATCGTAGAATAGAGGCACTTCAAGCATCACTAGCTAGCTACGTCCTTTGGAAATCCGGTCCAGTGTGAAAATGATGTCGAATCGCATAATGCGGGAGAAACAAATTGTCAATGCAACAAGATAGTGCCATCGAGCGGGGGGACAAAATGTCGGTGAAAGTCTATAAAGAACATAAAGAATTTGATTCGTTAAGTGGTTAATGGTGACGACCGGGGCCCGGATTTTGATGACATGTCATTTTTCCCCCTTGTATCCTATGCGATGCTCTTAAATATATAAATCCGAAATATGAGCTGCTGGTAACAGAAATGTAAATTTTTTGACATTTTTAGGTTTAAGGTCATTTTTTCATTTTGGGGGTAAATTTTTGGACTTAAGGGTATTTCTTGTCATTTTTGGCCATTTTAGGGAATTTTTCTTCATATGTTTTCTGAAATGTGAATAACATGAAAGCTAAGTGTTCTTTCTTTTCTCCTTTAGGCCATTTTTATGGATTTTTTCGGCCATTTTATAGGTCATCAAAATCCGGGCCCTGCATATTACAGTTTTGGGTCATATTTTAGGTCATTTTTCTGGATTTTTTTTCGGTCCTTTTATAGGTCATTTTTTAAATATTTTCAGGTCATCAAAATCCGGGCCCTGGTGATGACACTCAAGTTTTCATCAATGATAGTAGTGAACCGAGTGAGGTAACGAGAGCTTGTTGTCGTAAGTTTAAAATAGAACACAGATCAGCACAAAAAAATATTGAACTGCTACAAGAAAAGATAAACACGCCTAATCATACGTAAGTACAGACTCATGTTACTTCCACAGTTCGAACTAAAAAAGGGGGGGTAGGGGAACTGGGTTCTTGTGTTCGTGAATCTCCTCTGGAACATCTGACTAACCTAACTTAGGTTTTTCCATGGTTTTTCACAGTACCACCAAGCAAATGTTGATTGGACTTAGTATCCCTAATCCGGTGACAAGCACCAAGACTTTTGAATACATTATTTACCAAACATCAGCCATTTGATGCTATATAGTTTCGTCTACAAAATGTGTTGTGAAATCATGAAAGGAAATGTGGTGCAGGAGCAGTTTTGAATGTTATTAATAATCGGACACAACTTTCAGCGCCAGAAGAGATACTGTCCAACATCAAGACTGAGCCTAATGACAGTGAACTGGAGCTTCAGATAGCCCTCAAGAAAGTATGGAGACTGAAGCTACAGGAGGCTGTTGTAGAATCAAAGAACAGTGTAGAAAAGGTACATCACATCATCAGAGTTCCTTTTTAATCCTTCTCACAAATGTTTGGCTGTAGTAAGGGTCATTTCTCTTGTTCAGTCAAGGCCAGCTTCCCCTTACCTGCCTCTCTGCATTTTCTCTCTGAGACGAGAGAGGAGCAGCGCTATTGATAGGTGGTGGGAGGTGATGAAATTGTCCCTAGCTACAGAATCCTGTGCCATGTTTAGTTCCTACACAGTGTCTCCATATGTTCCAGTTATAAAATGTTGCACAGAACTTTGTAGTAAAGTTCATTATGATGTTTCCTCCTTGGTTACTGTACAAAACCAATTTACCCTAGAGACTATATTGTAATTTAACCTGAGGGCTATTAAATTTTTACTCTCACAGTTTCTTGTGGTGGGCCTCAAACCAGTAAATCATATCTTCACATTTAAGTAATATCATCCTTTCTTTCTGTGCTACAAACTGAAAGGTCATGGGTTCGATTCCCAGTTAGGTAATTGGATTTTTAGACTGACCGAATCCTTCCAGTCACACTATGACCTTGGGGTCAACTCAGCCTCTAACAGAAATGAGTACCAGGAATATTCTTTGGGGGATAAAGAGTGGCCAGCATGTAAGGCTGACAGCCTCACCACCATCTGTGAGCTTATTGTCGAGGAAGTATGGGAGTCTCGACGTCTCACACCCCTATGGGCCTCCACAGCCTCTTACTGGGAGAGCTATACTTTTTTTTTACACTATCATCCTTTCTTGTGTTGTGGTTATTGAGATGTGTTATGGCCTCCTGTTAAATAGACACCAGGGGCTCTTTCCCCGGGTGTGGAGTGGCATGGAGCAGGCCACTCACCATCATCTAGAGCATAACTAAGGCCATGCCATAGCTCAATCAGTTAGTCACTGGCTTTCCACCACCATGGCCCGGGTTCGATCCCGGGTCTGGTCAAGTGGGATTTGTGGTGGACAAAGTGGCGCTGGGGCAGGTTTTCAAGTACTTCGGTTTCCCCTGCCAATCTTCATTCCACCAACTGCTCCACAATCACCCTCATCTATCATCTGGGGCTCGTACAATAGGCCAGAAGTGGCCGCAGTACAAGGGACTTAGTCCCAACCCACTAGCAATAAGAAAAATAGATCATAACTAATTAAGCATAGAGACAGCTTTGCATTTATGGATACTACAAACAGAATGCTGTATAGCTACATAATTTAACTGTTTGTGATTTGTTATGTTTGTAGGTGGCAGAGTCAGTACTGGAGAGAAACTCAGAAGGAAACACGGAAGGTGGTTCCATTGTGCTGAATGCTACTGCAGAATTCTGCTGTACGTTGGGTGACGTCCCCATTTATGGTTTGGCTGGCAACAGGGATGAGGACGCTCAGGAACTACTTGTGAGTGCAATATAACCATCTGCAGATAAATGTACACTTGGCAAGGTACTTTGATTTAGGATGTGTCAAGACTAGATAGAGTCCATTGCCCATCTACAGTTATTTACTGCAGCTGCAACAGAATTAGAATATATTTTAATTACAGTTTAATTCCATGATAATGGTTATATAAATTACTAAACTGGAAACATCCAACAGAAATCCTAGAAATGAAAGTACTCATTGTACAATAAGAATGTGATAGTTAAGATGGGAGAACCTTTTTCTTCTTCTTCTTGACAAGTGGTACCTTCTGGAATAAAATACCGTATAGTGATAAGGTCCATATGCATTTTGAAGGAATGTCTGGACTTACAAGATGTTACTTCCCAGAAGATAGTGCCTTTCTTAATCTCCTCTACAAGAATCTCAAATCCAGTTTTTTTTCCCCCCCATATTTTATTACTTTTTCTCCCTGTGCCATGTGCATGATACAAGGGTAGAAAAGACACTACTAGGAATTATAAGTGAAATTGAAATAGGGATGAATAAATAGCTCAGAACATGACTAAATGAAAAACCAATAGTTCTTCTAATTTTATTCATTACAAAGTGAATTGAATGCTAATCATCACAGTATTCTTGCTGCAAACTCAGAATTAGTTTGGCAGGTGTACAGTGCTTGGCAGAATGAAAGTATGTTTCTAATAGCTCTGTAACTTTAAAGCATACTATGATATTAAAAAGATATTTTGGCAAAGAAGTTTCAAGATGATCAGTATAGTCAGAAGAATTCTGTCTTCTGGTGTATCATCTGAATTTCCGGGGGAACATGTCACCTGATTCTTCAGGGTCAAAGAATAAACGAAACAAGAAGCCAACATGAAGCAGGTAGGAAGCTTGGCTTTGTTACCTGCCAGTGCTGGTTTCTTACTTGATTTATTCTTCAACCCTGAAGATGGAGGCGACTTGTTTCTGCAGAATGTCTGTTGACTTTCGACAGACTACACAACATTATATCCCAGATGACAGAAGTCTTCAAAACCACTGCTGTCAGAAGCTCCAATCCTACACAGTGTAGTCAGTACTTCACAGTGAAGTAATTTTTTATACAGTGGTTGGTGGGTAAGCAGTTCAGATTTCAGTCTAGCTCAAGGTAATTTTGAATTCATAATTTTTGGACTGCATTTGCGTTCTGTTAATCTCATACAGAATTTATATTATAGGACTTTCAGAGGCAAATGATTGAAGAGAAGACATGTCAGGAAGAAGAAGGCAAACGTGGAGCTTGGAATGAAGTTGAGCTTGGTGAGTCATTAGCAGATTCTTTATGTGCAACATAGGCCTATTCAGATTAAGAGATATTGACACTATAATAGGTTTTAATTGTGCATTTATATTTTAAGTATTTCATAAATGATGTACCATATTTAATCATATACTGCAGTCTTGTTAGGGATTTTAGTAGAAACACATTAATCATTACTCTTTAATATTAGTAGTGGTAGGATAGTTGGTTGAGGCACTATGCTACAAGTTGGAAGGTCGTGGGTTCAGGTCCCGACTAGGTCATTAATTTTTTTCAATTGACCTAATCCTTCCAGCTGCACTATGGCCCTGGGGTCATCTCAGCCTCTTAACAGAAATGAGTAACAGGAATTTCTTTTAGTTGTCTACCATTAGTCATATTAACATGGTGACTGAGCTGGGAGCAACACTAGAGCCACTTAAATTAGGTCCTTAAGAAAAAGGTCCTGGGGTAAGCTGTTATACCCATTCAGAAAGTTCTGAGTTCGGTCCCCACTCGCATCTGTGTACAGATATTTCTGCTCACAGATGATGCCTTCATATCTACCAGAGTTCGAGCTTCAGGAATACAAAGGATACCCCCCCCCTCTCCCCAATGGGTTAGAGCCCACATTTAATTGTAGGATCCCTCTGCTGACCAACACTATCATGATTACCCTCTCATGGGTGGTGAGATTATTGTCTT